TGCGTCACTATGCTTGATACTCAGGATAAAATAAGCTATACATGATTAACATATCTTTTTCCCTGGTTTTGAACAACCTTAATAAAGAAAGCACCCCAGCATTAAAGGCGTGAGGTCCATACTAGTGTACTACGCCCTAGAGGCGTTCTTCTTACTCACAGTCTTGGCCGTTAACCGTGCACACCAACCCCAGCAGGAATGGCAAAACTGCTAATAATGCCGGAAAACAACAATATCGACAACGCGTCCTCCTCATCTTTTAGAATAATCCTCTGGTGCCGGCTTCCTTCTCCACAGTCCACGTTTGTGGTCTGTCTACGCAGGTTGCGCTCAAGCTGCGTTCGTCAGAACCGGACTTTTACTTTCACAACCCTCTAATCAGGTATATACACTAAATGCTTGCCAAGAAGTCACGTGGGGAATTGTGTTCATCCTTGTGGTAATTTCTTTCTTTCCAATAGAGAAAAAAACTGTTTAAATAAGTAAATCAAGCTCCATTGAAGTAGCAAGAGCGATTTGGCCGAAGAACAGAAGAAAAACACATCACTCCTACTCGTCCAAGGGCGCAGGAAGAGTTCTTGCCCTTTCTGACACCAATTAACACTATCTAGATATTCGGTATGTTTCTGCGGCGTGCGCGTTCCTTGAAGACTGTTATCTTGTGATTAATATATTGGAATACATTGCACAGAGAACTGGCTGGAATGCCTCTATCACACAGGCAGGACGGGAGCCGGGTTGTGCGGACCAGGACGCGTTATCAATGAATCATTGCAGGACCTCGGCGACTGCGGCGGTCCACTCAGCGTCGCTTACGTTCCATTAGACAAGGTTTTAGATGCAACCCTTCATTTTAACAAGCTTGTTTCCCAGTCTCCAGAAACGCCTCTCCTGTGTCGATGTGAAAGAGAATCTGTCAGAATACACGAGTTAGTAAGCAATGCTGTGGCCGACTTTGGCACCCTACTTCCATAGGATAACTGGCGACTGTTTAGATTCATGCAACTTAATAGCCAGCCAGTTCCCAATGAGCAGTGACAAACAAACCCATTCCCCTGTGTGACGCTGGCATATTTTAACTGTCCAGAAACAACATCAGTAATTTTGTTTGTCACTGTAGGTGACGATGTTTGCGTTTCTAATCTTTTTTCCTAACCAGTAAAAATTTTAATCGATTTTACGTAAACTATCAAGCTGACCATAGCCATTTGTGTATTTGTTGCATTAAGTTCTTTTGGCAGACGCTTGAAAAAAATAATACTTGTGCAATGCGTGCTTTGGGTTTAAGGGATGACCCCACCTTAGAATGTTTTCTGAGGATCAGTGTAAGACTGGGTTCCCAGGCCTAGATCGATCTAACAGGATCGATCCATCTCTAAGGGGTTTCTCGCCAAATTGCTTTCAGTTTAAGCGGCTTAGATCTCTGGAACGACGGCTGCTAATTAATAAAACGATAATTAATCACCCCCTGCTAAACGATAATTAATTACCCCCTAGCAGCTTCAGTAGTCGCGACAGACAGTCGCTTAAATTGATAGCAATTTAGCGAGAGTCCCTTTGGAGATAGATCAATCTTAAGTTAGTACGATAGTGTCTGGGAATGGTCCCTACGTACATTTCCAAGAAGCCAGGTTCTATCCCGGTTCTACCTGTGGTCGGAGGGAGAGGCATTACAAGCCCCATTAGCTCTGTGGCAGACCACTACAAAGCGATGGAGGGTGCAGGAGGGCTACCTTAAAAGTGAACTAGATCCCCTTAGCCACCCATTTATCTGCCTAGTCCACATGTGTTCTTGCCACGTTCCTGTAACGCCTCAGCACCCATATTGCTGGCTACAGACGTCTAGGAAATGAAATGAACGAGTTGGTAAACTATTTCACTGTGCTAACCAATGTAATGGGAGTCCAGTTTTGTTCATTGGGCAAAACGAAGGCGTTTCCTCAAATAACTACTAGTACAAGTGTTTTCCTTTTTTTTCAATTAAAGTGCGGAAATGGACGATTATAATTATTTGTGTTGCAACATCTGAGTGGCTGGTAGTCTGTCTTCGTCTTGTGTTATCTAACCTGTGTATTGGTCTTTTCACTGGACATCAGGCCAAATGCATCCTCTAGGTACTTCAAACATGGAACCGTATGCGGCACATCGTACATTGCTAATCCAATTAACGACAACATCACACCGAGAAGACGCGTCAAAACTAAACACCGACAGAAAAGCTCAAAAGATATAAAAAAGATGTTGAAGTGAGAAAAAGCTGCCTTTAAAACACTGACTAATTAAACTGAACATTTTGTAGACTTCAAAAAAAAAAAAAAAAAAAAAAACACAACCGACCAAATATGATCATGAAGATTTTCTATGATTGCAACAATTAGGAGGTTGCCACTAAAATCAAATTTATAAATTTTGATTCGCGTTTAAAACGAAAAACAAGCTAGCAAGCAAGCTGTCAAATAAACAAACAAATAAACAACATATGTAACATTGCAAAGCCCACTATGAATGAAGGGTTTACATTTTTTGTGAGCATTAATTTCAAGTGATTGAAACATGATGTTAAACAAAGCTCGTGAAATAAAAACCGTAGAAGCTCTATGCTCAACTTAGAACTATTGTTCTTTTGATGAAGTAAGGCGATACAAAACAACAGCAGCCCGAGGACATGAAGTTACGCGGGGGTACACGCGGTTCAGCTAACATGGCGGTTTAGTTTACATCCTTCGCACAAACAACTGGTCTAAGATCAACCAAAACCATTTTGTTGATGGGAAGAACTTTGCTTCTGCGTTTCTTTCATCGATTTTCGATTTCTTAAGTACTTAATTTAGCTGAAAAATAACAAACATAATATAATGTATAAATGGACGTGAGTCACCTCATGTAGAGAAAAAAAAACGCCATTTCATCGCACATTTATTATGCTGCACCCGGAGAACTCATAAAAGTACTGCAAGGCATTTCCAGGAGTAATTTCCTTTCCTTAATATGTCTGCATATCTGCAATAGATCTTGGTATATTACATGAATCTCATGGGACAGAGTCTGGAAGACGGATTTTTGGTGAAAATCCGTCTTTCATGAGAAAATATGCTCCGCAACTGACTTGCTGGCTTCTTCTAACAGTGGTAGCAACGATTAAACTTTAAGAAAACAGAACTGCACGGAAAAAAGCAATTCCAAATTTGATATTTAAGATAAAACATTAAGGACACTTTTTGTATTTCTGATGAAAGAAAAGGGGTGTGCTGGAAAAGTTAGACGTTTCCCATCGTCTGGTCACGTTTTGGGAGACGCCTATCTCTCTTTGATTTTTTTGCGACAAAATGAAACCGTTAATTACACAAAGTTTAAAACAAGGTTAAAACTAGACTGCCTAGTCTAGAAACACACATAGGAACTGAACTGAAACTAAGAACCAATATAGTTTGACAAAATAAGGGCAATAGAAGTCACTTACATTGGTTGACAAGATATACCCAACTCTCCGTCCACAGACGTCACTTATATCAGTTGACAAAATATACCCAACTCTCCGTCCACAGACGTCACTTATATCAGTTGACAAAATATACCCAACCCTCCGTCCACAGACATCACTTATATCAGTTGACAAAACGCTCTCAACCGCACAGTCACAGCTGTTTCCCAAGACAAACACTCTAACATATACAGATGTACATTCTCAAGTTTGAAAGATTTCCTTGTAATTTACCTCTAATGGATCAACACGCCCAAACAAGGCAATATGATGCAGTTTGACCTTAGTCGGAATCGTTTACAAAACCAATCTCAGACCCCATTCCCATACATAGATAAACGATTTTCCCCCAACAGCTTCAGTAGGCGTGCCAGGCATAAGAGCAATTTAGTGAAAAACCCCTCGGAGATGGATCGATCCTGTAAGATCGATCTAAGTATGGAAATGAGGTGTCTGTCGCACATCATAAATAATGACCGAATTCCACATGCTATTCTGATAAAGGCTCGGATGTAACAATGAACGGACGGCTCTGGGCACAGGTCGGTGTATGCAGCTTATCAATCTGCTTTTATGACAGGGGAAATAACCTGAATAATTCTCTTGTTTAAAAAATGATTTTATTATAATAATTTATGTTAATACTTAATAAGACAATACAATATAAATAACACTCAGATCAGTGTCATCACAGGTCATTATAAGGAACACGGCTGTCAGAGGCAAAATATAAAAGTCGTAAAACAACAGACAATAAAATAACTCAGCCATCAGGTAGAAGGTTGTGCATTTTGTAAGTTTCTCCTTAGGCTAGGTAGATGAGTACGCAGTGCCAGGTTACAATAAGACTGGGTTCCCACCCCTAGATTGATCTAACAGGATCGGTCCATCTCCACACAGGTTTCTTGCTAAATTGCTTTCAACTTAAGCGGCTTAGATGTCTGGGACTCCTACTAAAGCTCCTAAAGATAGTAAATTAACCTCTATCAGCTTCAGTGGGTGTGACGGACATCTAAGTTGCTAAGTTAATTGCAATTAAGCGAGAACCTCCTCGGAGATAGTTCGATCTAAAGTTAGTAGGGTCAGGGAATGGTCTCTAAAACAACAGACGATAAAATAACTCAGCCAGTAGGTAGAAAGTTGTGCATTTTGTAAGCTTCTCCTTAGGCTAGGTGGATAAGTAGTGCCAGATTACACTAAAACATGATTGGTAATGAAGTCTTCTCTCCCAGTTAAAACATCTTTAATCACATTTTGCATGAATGATAATAAAATACTGAGTCTCTTAAAGAAATCATACACCCCATTCTCATAGATTAGATCGACCTACATTGGATCGACCTAACTCCCTGGGGGTTCACGCTAAATAGCTGTCAGCCGGGCGGACACGAAAGTTAATTACCCCTTATAGCTTGTAGTAGGCGGGGACGGACACTTAAGGCGGATTATCTGACAGTAATCTAGTGAGACTCCCCGCGGTGATAGATCGATCTAAAAGTTGTGAGAACAGAGCCATAGGCCATATATCAACAAAACTGACAATATTGCAGGCCTGAATTCTATTACAAGTTGCTCTTCCCTGATCTGCCTAGTCACAGTTCATCCTTGTCTTTGGTCTTCAGTCCTATGGGACAACTGATCCCTGTACCCCCCAGTCCACAATACCCCCCTGGGTTTTTATACAGATACTGTTGGTGATAATCCTCTGCATAGTAGAACTCTGGAGCTGGGAGGATCTCTGTGGTGATAGTGGAGTAGCCATTCCTGGACAGAACCTTCTGGTAGGTTTCTTTAGATTCAAGAGCCTGTGTCTTCTGATCATCATCATAGTAGTAGATTCCAGAGCGGTACTGGGTGCCCACGTCGTTCCCCTGCCGCATCCCCTGGGTGGGGTTGTGACTCTCCCAGAACAACTTGAGAAGTGCAGAGTAGTCCACCTTGGCGGGATCATATACAACTCGGACCACTTCATTGTGGCCTGTTTGTCCTGTGCACACTTCTTCATATGTGGGATTTTTGGTGAAACCCCCAGCATACCCAACCTGGAAAATAGCATTAGTGATTACAATTATTTATTCAATGTAATGTGAGCTACTTCTATCCCTGAGAGTCAATCCAAACTCTCATAGGAAATTCTTCATACGAGCAATATATAACTATTGTAAATGAAAACTTGGGCAGGGAGAACAAACAGTTGAAATATCTCAGGTTAAAAGATCACAACTTGAACATTTCCTGTGGCAAATTAGACTTAAAAGGGACAAAATGTTGCAAAAATGTAAAATATTAAAAGTCTGACATGCATGCAAGGTTTTCCAGCATTAGACCTAGTTTCAGATTTGGAAGTTTTTTCATTTTTTTGATTCAGTGAAGTTTTCAATAGCTAAACTGCAGTTTCTGTTGAACAAATTTTTTATAACTTTATTCCTTGCAAACAAAAAAGGTTATTATTTTAGCTTTAAAAAGATTTCATGATTCAAATAAAGTGCTTCCAAGCCAAATGCCTACTTTGAGTTTTTTCCAGGATAACTTTAGTCAATGTCCAAAATTTTACTAGTAATTAACTTATGAATAAATTAAGTGAATGGTTTCCATATAGACATTCCATAAATGAAGAAATTAATAAACAAGAGAAACATTCCAGGTGAAAGGTGATATAAATGCAATAAAGGACATGTTTCAACAGGCAATGAATGTGATTCAGTGGGAGAACAAGAACAAGAAGAATGAGAATAAGAACTCAGACATTTATGAATAACATGAAACACCCAGAGTGCACTGCAAACAAAATATGCCACACTCATTCTTTTCAAAGTATTTTTTTAACATATCACTTTTACAAAACAGGTGAAAACATGCATTGTAATACAACCTACCTGAGTAGAGAAAACACCTGACATTTTCCAGAATTTTCTTTCTGCACCCCAAAAGCAACCCATGCCTGAAGAAAAATGTACAATGAATGCACTGTTGAAACTTCTTGGAAAAAGGTGCCAATATTACTCCATAGACAAAAACTGCCAGACATAAATATTCACTGTGTAACATTATAAATGAGAAGATCTGTGTTCACTTACCAAACATGAACATCTTCATATTGTCTGGGAAAGGGGGCACCGTGGGATTCTTGTTGGCTGCATGAGTATTGGAAACTATGATCTTTTTGTCTCTTCCTAGAATGAATAACATTCCAAAGGTTAGTTCTTGGGTGCTATATTCTATGAACAGGTGCTTTATTTATCAACTCAATATTAAAATTTATTTCTCAAATCTTTCATTTTGGTTCCATTTAAAATGTATTAAATATAGGTGCAAATCTGTGGTATGACTGTTTATATATGAAAGTATGTACTTCATTCTCTTTGTAAGTGAAGCAGAACTAGAATACGGTAATGTGNTATCATAATTTTAAAAGAATCATGTCAGTGGTCGTGGAAATCTACTGAAAAAAATATTTCGACATTTTGTTAATACATTTACTCCCTCCAACATTAACAATCCAAATGTTTTATAACTCATACTGGTAAAAAAACTCTACTTTATGATCTCAGAATATTGGCATCTCTACTAAAAACAAACAAGTGCCTTCTGTCTTATTACATTACAAAAAGAGTCAGTGACATGAAGTCTTGATTTCACATGGACTTTGATTTATAAGGTTTGAAACCAAGTCAAATACCTTCTTCATTTGTCACTGTAGGAGACAAATAGTGAATAAAAGAAAGATGACAGCATTTCCAAATCTTCTGCGGAAGGGATGGGACAGGATGGAATTTTTTTTTTTTTGGGGGGGGGGGGGGGGGGGACATGGTATATATTATTAGGAACTCCAGACAGAGAATACACTTCCTATTCTTCTTCTTGTTCCTCGTCTTTGTAACAATTATCTCACATCCATGTACTGGTTAAAAGCCAAGACATCTGATATGCTTTGAACCAAGTTTGAGCTAATAATAACCATTACGTCACATGTCTAAGTTCTTTCTATTACTAACATTGGCACATGGAGCACCAGAAGTTTCCAGTATAATGAATGCTTTTACTTATTCATACTGTATAATAATTCTGAAATTTAATCAAGTTTTTGGGTCTTTTCATTTAGCCTTCAGAATTCTCTTACAGTGAGGATAAGTAAAAACTATCACGAATAACACATAATCCTGTATTGAAGAGTTAATAATAAATATTATTAAATATAAAATATAAATGCTATGTTGGCATCTCCTCTGTGACAAGATCAGTTTTGAGAAAAGACATATCTCATAGTTTTAGACACAGGGAAGATGATGATTAAGGACTGAAAGCATTCATTCAGTTCTGTATCATTCTGATTTGGCATGCAGCGGGTATCTAACCTGGTAATGCCTCTTCCTCTGTAGGCATTTTCATCTTGGAGGCCATGTCTCCCATTGCAAAGAAAATGGAGGCTCTGGGAATGTGTAGACAGGAGGAAAAGAACAGGAAGAATCTGGCCTTCTGCATATGGAGCTGCTCATTATGAAAACAAAATTAGATAAGATTATTATGGTGTTATTAACAAAGTCACGCTGCATAATACATGTATGAAAAATGTAAAATGATTTCACTGATTTTATAAACAGCTTCACACTGTAGTATGCTTCTCATATCAAGGCACTTTATCTGGAGTTCGGCCATAGCAATGTTACGATAAGCAAATTTTATGATCAAATCGTGTTATGGTCTTAAAATCTTGTTTCTTCATATCTCCCTTAAAAAAGTCCTATAGGATCCAATAAGATCCTAATTCTCATCCTATACGATCCTATAGGGTTCTATAGGAAATTGGCCCAATTTCCTATAGGATCCTACAGGATCCTATAGAATCCTTTAAGACTTTATCGTTAGGGCTAGATCTTCATTAAGGTCAAGTTTGAAATGTTACATATTTATCTAATTAGAAATGGTAAAAAACATGCACTGTAACAAAGTGCAGTGACTGGCCAATCAATGAATTGTGAGTTGGAGAGGATTGCTTTTTTCTCAAAAAAGTTAGATTTGGCGCAAACATCCCGTACAGTATACCTTAAAAATATTGGACTAGTGAAGGAAGGAGTGTTCGATCATAATTTCCCTTGTAACTTAAGTAACCGACAGACAGACACAGACCGGGTTTGTAAATTTATTATAGCACTTAAGGTCAAAAAGCTGTTTCATAAGCGTTAATCAGTTCATGGCGGATACTGTAGTAACACAAAATGACTTGTTATACAAGTTCTATAAGTGAAACCGAAAAACCCAGACTCGGAGAGCGACAAGTAAAGTAAATCCGTGTCAGACACGAAGGGGGGTACCCCTGCAGCCAGGTGACCTAAAGAGATCGTTATTGGTTTCTTTGTACATAACCTCAGTAAAGCTGTGAAGATCACGATCATATTGGCATGAACCTCTTACCTTCTGCTTCCTAGTTTACGTAACAAGGATATACTGGAATTAAAGTACTACATACTATTCACCGATATAATGCAAATGCTGGTTGCTCATGAAAGTGGCCAAGAGGGGACACATGCTCGACTTGTAGTGTAATTTATAAGGCTACCAATATAACGTTGTATACATGCACACATACATTTTCAGTGGCAGAAGATTCATTTTGTATACCCGATCTTGTTTTTATACCAGAGCTCCACATCATCTGTGCCTTTTTTTATTCATTCTTATCACTGAATCCATCACATTTTCTTAATTAAAAAGAAAAATTAACAAGGCCTACATGCAGTTTAATAACCTTGCGCGCNTATAAATATACCACAAGAATGCGGTATATATACCTAAATATAATTAGTTTGAACTTCGAGAATTTTTCCGCGCACATAGCAGGCAGTTTTATAAATCACATCACAAACTTAGAGAAAGTGATCTGGAAGTGAGTGGGATCAAGTCCGACAGTTTCAAGGAGATGTCGGTGCCTGATCTTTTTTCATTCACTTGGAAACACTTAAGTCAGCACTTGACTAAGTTTACTGTAGCGCGTAATGATGCGTATTGTTTGTAACGCCGAGTTCCTCCATCGTTAAAGCGCTGCTCGTTAGATGGCTGCTAGAGTGAAGGCTGACAGGCAGAACATGCGTCCAAGTGACAGACGAGCATTAACCTTCTTATGCTACTCCAAGTTAAGTGATTTACAAAATGAATTTTAAATTTGCAACATAAATCATAGTAGAGACTGGAGTAAAACATCACAATACGCCAAGTCTGCGGCACACAGGTGGCAGGCCCAACCCCACGCGCGCGACACCTTCGAGTAAATATTACCAATGGTATGGGAAGGCTTAATGGTCATAATAACCACCACCAAATGATACCAAATGGCCTAAAATATGTTTTCTTTCCAGACGTCTACAACAGAAACACTGGCGAGGCAGTGTCATGTTACAAAAAGCCACCGAAAGCAAATGGCAATAAAACATTTTCTTTTCAAAGGGAGAAGAATGACAGTGCTGAGATTAAAACTAGCCTATTTAAAACGAAAGCTACTTGCAAATTAAAATATGTCAACTACTCTTCTACATCTAACGCTTGAAAATTGCCAGACACATGCTGCGTCACTATGCTTGATACTCAGGATAAAATAAGCTATACATGATTAACATATCTTTTCCCCTGGTTTTGAACAACCTTAATAAAGAAAGCACCCCAGCATTAAAGGCGTGAGGTCCATACTAGTGTACTACGCCCTAGAGGCGTTCTTCTTACTCACAGTCTTGGCCGTTAACCGGGCACACCAACCCCAGCAGGAATGGCAAAACTGCTAATAATGCCGGAAAACAACAATATCGACAACGCGTCCTCCTCATCTTTTAGAATAATCCTCTGGTGCCGGCTTCCTTCTCCACAGTCCACGTTTGTGGTCTGTCTACGCAGGTTGCGCTCAAGCTGCGTTCGTCAGAACCGGACTTTTACTTTCACAACCCTCTAATCAGGTATATACACTAAATGCTTGCCAAGAAGTCACGTGGGGAATTGTGTTCATCCTTGTGGTAATTTCTTTCTTTCCAATAGAGAAAAAACTGTTTAAATAAGTAAATCAAGCTCCATTGAAGTAGCAAGAGCGAATTGGCCGAAGAACAGAAGAAAAACACATCACTCCTACTCGTCCAAGGGCGCAGGAAGAGTTCTTGCCCTTTCTGACACCAATTAACACTATCTAGATATTCGGTATGTTTCTGCGGCGTGCGCGTTCCTTGAAGACTGTTATCTTGTGATTAATATATTGGAATACATTGCACAGAGAACTGGCTGGAATGCCTCTATCACACAGGCAGGACGGGAGCCGGGGTGTGCGGACCAGGACGCGTTATTAATGAATCATTGCAGGACCTCGGCGACTGCGGCGGTCCACTCAGCGTCGCTTACGTTCCATTAGACAAGGTTTTAGATGTAACCCTTCATTTTCACAAGCTTGTTTCCCAGTCTCCAGAAACGCCTCTCCTGTGTCGATGTGAAAGAGAATCTGTCAGAATACACGAGTTAGTAAGCAATGCTGTGGCCGACTTTGGCACCCTACTTCCATAGGATAACTGGCGACTGTTTAGATTCATGCAACTTAATAGCCAGCCAGTTCCCAATGAGCAGTGACAAACAAACCCATTCCCCTGTGTGACGCTGGCATATTTTAACTGTCCAGAAACAACATCAGTAATTTTGTTTGTCACTGTAGGTGACGATGTTTGCGTTTCTAATCTTTTTTCCTAACCAGTAAAAATTTTAATCGATTTTACGTAAACTATCAAGCTGACCATAGCCATTTGTGTATTTGTTGCATTAAGTTCTTTTGGCAGACGCTTGAAAAAAATAATACTTGTGCAATGCGTGCTTTGGGCTTAAGGGATGACCCCACCTTAGAATGTTTTCTGAGGATCAGTGTAAGACTGGGTTCCCAGGCCTAGATCGATCTAACAGGATCGATCCATCTCTAAGGGGTTTCTCGCCAAATTGCTTTCAGTTTAAGCGGCTTAGATCTCTGGAACGCCGGCTGCTAATTAATAAAACGATAATTAATCACCCCCTGCTAAACGATAATTAATTACCCCCTAGCAGCTTCAGTAGTCGCGACAGACAGTCGCTTAAATTGATAGCAATTTAGCGAGAGTCCCTTTGGAGATAGATCAATCTTAAGTTAGTACGATAGTGTCTGGGAATGGTCCCTACGTGCATTTCCAAGAAGCCAGGTTCTATCCCGGTTCTACCTGTGGTCGGAGGGAGAGGCATTACAAGCCCCATTAGCTCTGTGGCAGACCACTACAAAGAGATAGAGGGGGCTAAAAGTGAACTCGATCCCCTTAGCCACCCATTTATCTGCCTAGTCCACATGTGTTCTTGCCACGTTCCTGTAACGCCTCAGCACCCATATTGCAGCCTACAGATGTCTAGGAAATGAAATGAACGAGTTGGTAAACTATTTCACTGTGCTAACCAATGTAATGGGAGTCCAGTTTTGTTCATTGGGCAAAACGAAGGCGTTTCCTCAAATAACTACAAGTGTTTTCCTTTTTTTCAATTAAAGTACGGAAATGGGCGATTATAATTATTTGTGTTGCAACATCCGAGTGGCGGGTAGTCTGTCTTCGTCTTGTGTTATCTAACCTGTGTATTGGTCTTTTCACTGGACATCAGGCCAAATGCATCCTCTAGGTACTTCAAACATGGAACCGTATGCGGCACATCGCACAATGCTAATCCAATTAACGACAACATCACACCGAGAAGACGCGTCAAAACTAAACACCGACAGAAAAGCTCTAAAGATATAAAAAAGATGTTGAAGTGAGAAAAAGCTGCCTTTAAAACACTGACTAATTAAAATGAACATTTTGTAGACTTCAAAACAACCGACCAAATATGATCATGAAGATTTTCTATGATTGCAACAATTAGGAGGTTGCCACTAAAATCAAATTTATAAATTTTGATTTTGCGTTTAAAACGAAAAACAAGCTAGCAAGCAAGCTATCAAATAAACAAACAAATAAACAACATATGTAACATTGCAAAGCCCACTATTAATGAAGGGTTTACATTTTTTTGTGAGCATTAATTTCAAGTGATTGAAACATGATGTTAAACAAAGCTCGTGAAATAAAAACCGTAGAAGCTCTATGCTCAACTTAGAACTATTGTTCTTTTGATGAAGTAAGGCGATACAAAACAACAGCAGCCCGAGGACATGAAGTTACGCAGGGGTACACGCGGTTCATCTAACATGGCGGTTTAGTTTACATCCTTCGCACAAACAACTGGTCTAAGATCAACCAAAACCATTTTGTTGATGGGAAGAACTTTGCTTCTACGTTTCTTTCATCGATTTTCGATTTCTTAAGTACTTAATTTAGCTGAAAAATAACAAACATAATATAATGTATAAATGGACGTGAGTCACCTCATGTAGAGAAAAAAACGCCATTTCATCGCACATTTATTATGCTGCACCCGGATAACTCATAAAAGTACTGCAAGGCATTTCCAGGAGTAATTTCCTTTCCTTAATATGTCTGCATATCTGCAATAGATCTTGGTATATTACATGAATCTCATGGGACAGAGTCTGGAAGACGGATTTTTGGTGAAAATCCGTCTTTCATGAGAAAATATGCTCCGCAACTGACTTGCTGGCTTCTTCTAACAGTGGTAGCAACGATTTAACTTTAAGAAAACAGAACTGCACGGAAAAAAGCAATTCCAAATTTGATATTTAAGATAAAACATTAAGGACACTTTTTGTATTTCTGATGAAAGAAAAGGGGTGTGCTGGAAAAGCTAGACGTTTCCCATCGTCTGGTCACGTTTTGGGAGACGCCTATCTCCCTTTGATTTTTTTGCGACAAAATGAAACCGTTAATTACACAAAGTTTAAAACAAGGTTAAAACTAGACTGCCTAGTCTAGAAACACACATAGGAACTGAACTGAAACTACGAACCAATATAGTTTGACAAAAGAAGGGCAACAGAAGTCACTTACATTGGTTGACAAGATATACCCAACTCTCCGTCCACAGACGTCACTTACATCAGTTGACAGGATATACCCAACTCTCTGTCCACAGACATCACTTACATCAGTTGACAGGATATACCCAACTCTCTGTCCACAGACATCACTTAGGCTCTATTCCCAGAGCTTTTAGATCGATCCATCCCCGCGGGGAGTCTCACTAGATTACTGTCATATAATACGGCTTAAATGTCCGTCCCGCCTACTACAAGCTGTAAGGGGGTAATTAACTATGGTGCCTGCAATTTAGCGTGAACCCCCAGGGAGTTAGGTCGATCTAAAGTAGATCGACCTAATCTTTGGGAATGGGGTCTTAGACGAGTTAACAAAACGCTCTCAACCGTACAGTCACAGCTGCTTCTCGCGACAAACACTCTACCATATACAGATGTATATTCTCAAGTTTGAAAGATTTCCTTGTAATTTACCTCTAATGGATCAACACGCCCAAACAAGGCAATATGATGCAGTTTGATCTTAGTCGGAGTCGTTAACAAAACCAATCTCAGACCCCATTCCCATACATAGATAAACGATAGTTAATTTCCCCCTAACTGCTTCAGTAGGCGTGCCAGGCAGAAGAGCAATTTAGTGAAAAACCCCTCGGAGATGGATCGATCCTGTAAGATCGATCTAAGTATGGAAATGGGGTGTCCGTCACCCATCATAAATATAATGACTGAATTCCACATGCTATTCTGATAAAGGCTCGGATGTGCCAATGAACGGACCTCTGGGCACAGGTCGGTGTATGCAGCTTATCAATCTGCTTTATGACAGGGGAAATAACCTGAATAATTCTCTTGTTTAAAAATGATTTTATTATAATAATTTATGTTAATACTTAATAAGACAATACAATATAAATAACACTCAGATCAGTGTCATCACAGGTCATTATAAGGAACACGGCTGTCACAGGCACAATATAAAAGTCGTAAAACAACAGACAATAAAATAACTCCGCCATCAGGTAGAAGGTTGTGCATTTTGTAAGTTTCTCCTCAGGCTGGGTAGATGAGTAAACAGTGCCAGGTTACACTAAGACTGGGTTCCCATCCCTGGATTGATCTAACAGGATCGGGCCATCTCCACACAGGTTTCTTGCTAAATTGCTTTCAACTTAAGCGGCTTAGATGTCTGGGACTCCTACTAAAGCTCCTAACGATAGTTAATTAACCTCTATCAGCTTCAGTAGGTGTGACAGACATCTAAGTCGCTTAAGTTAATTGCAATTAAGCGAGAATCCCCTCGGAGATAGTTCGATCTAAAGTTAGTACGATAGGGTCTGGGAATGGTCTCTAAAACAACAGACAATAAAATAACTCAGCCAGCAGGTAGAAAGTTGTGCATTTTGTAAGCTTCTCCTTAGGCTAGGTGGATAAGTAGTGCCAGATTACACTAAAACATGATTGGTAATGAAGTCTTCTCTCCCAGTTAAAACATCTTTAATCACATTTTGCATGAATGATAATAAAATACTGAGTCTCTTAAAGAAATCATAGGCCATATATCAACAAAACTGACAATATTGCAGGCCTGAATTCTATTACAAGTTGCTCTTCCCTGATCTGCCTAGTCACAGTTCATCCTTGTCTTTGGTCTTCAGTCCTATGGGACAACTGATCCCTGTACCTCCCAGTCCACAATACCCCCCGGGGTTTTTATACAGATACTGTTGGTGATAATCCTCTGCATAGTAGAACTCTGGAGCTGGGAGGATCTCTGTGGTGATAGTGGAGTAGCCATTCCTGGACAGAACCTTCTGGTAGGTTTCTTTGGATTCAAGAGCCTGTGTCTTCTGGTCATCATCATAGTAGTAGATTCCAGAGCGATACTGGGTGCCCACGTCGTTCCCCTGACGCATCCCCTGGGTGGGGTTGTGACTCTCCCAGAACAACTTGAGAAGTGCAGAGTAGTCCACCTTGGCGGGATCATATACAACTCGGACCACTTCATTGTGGCCTGTTTGTCCTGTGCACACTTCTTCATATGTGGGATTTTTGGTGAAACCCCCAGCATAACCAACCTGGAAAATAGCATTAGTGATTATTATTTATACAATGTAATGTGAGCTACTTCTATCCCAGAGAGTCAATCCAAACTCTCACAGGAAATTCTTCATACGAGCAATATATAACTATTGTAAATGAAAACTTGGGCAGGGAGAACAAACAGTTGAAATATCTCAGGTTAAAAGATCACAACTTGAACATTTCCTGTGGCAAATTAGACTTAAAAGGGACAAAATGTTGCAAATATGTCAAATATTAAAAGTCTGACATGTATGCAAGGTTTTCCAGCATTAGACCAAGTTTCAGATTTGGAAGTTTTTTATTTTTTTTTTGATTCAGTGAAGTTTTCAATAGCTAAACTGCATTTTCTGTTGAACAAATTTTTTATAACTTTATTCCTTGCAAACAAAAAGGTCATTATTTTAGCTTAAAAAAGATTTCATGATTCAAATAAAGTGCTTCCAAGCCAAATGCCTACTTTGAGTTTTTACCAGGATAACTTTAGTCAATGTCCAAAATTTTACTAGTAATTAACTTATGGATGAATTAAGTGACTGGTTTCCATGTAGACATTCAATAAATGAAGAAATTAATATAGAAGAGAAACATTCCAGGTGAAAGGTGATATAAATGCAATAAAGGACATGTTTCACCAGGCAATGAATATGATTCAGTGGGAGAACAAGAACAAGAGAATGAGAATAAGAAATCAGACATTTATGAATAACATGAAACACCCAAGTGCACTGTAAACAAAATATGCCACACTCATTCTTTTCAAAGTATTTTTTTAACATATCACTTTTTCAGACTATCTTCTACAAACAGGTGAAAACATGCATTGTAATACAACCTACCTGAGTAGAGAAAACACCTGACATTTTCCAGAATTTTCTTTCTGCACCCCAAAAGCAACCCATGCCTGACAAGAAAAGTAAAATGAATGTACTGTTGAAACTTCTTGGAAAAAGATGCCAGTATTACTCCATAGACAAAAATTGCCAGACATAAATATTCACTGTGTAACATTATAAATGAGAAGATCTGTGTTCACTTACCAAACATGAACATCTTCATATTGTCTGGGAAAGGGGGCACTGTGGGATTCTTGTTGGCTGCATGAGTGTTGGAAACTATGATCTTTTTGTCTCTTCCTAGAACAAATAACATTCCAAAGGTTAGTTTTTTGGGTGCTATATTCTATGAACAGGTCCTTTATTTATCAACTCAATATTGGGATTTATTTCTCAAATCCTTTCATTTTGGTTCCATTTAAAATGTATTAAATATAGGTGCAAATCTGTGGTATGACTGTTTATATATGAAAGTATGTACTTCATTCTCTTTAACTGAAGCAGAACTAGAATCATAATTTTAAAAGAATCACGTCAGTGGTCGTGGAAATCTACTGAAAAAAATATTTCGACATTTTGTTAATACATTTCCTCCCTCCAACATCAACAATCCAAATGTTTTTTAACTCATAATGGCAAAAAACTTTATGATCTCAGAATATTGGCATCTCTACTAAAAACAAACAAGTGCCTTCTGTCTTATTACATTACAAAAAGAGTCAGTGACATGAAGTCTTGATTTCACATGGTTTGAAACCAAATCAAATACCTTCTTCATTTGTCACTGTAGGAGGCAAACAATGAATAAAAGAAAGCATTTCCAAATCTTCTGCTGAAGGGATGGGACAGGGTGTAATTTGGGGGGGGGGGTCAAATAATCAGTTTCTAACACTGTTATTTATATTTCTAATATAACCAAGCTTGCTGGCATTAAAACTAAAACATGGTAAATATTTAGGTTGGTGAACTGTCAGGGCTCCAGACAGAGAATACACATCCAGTTCTTCTTCTTGTTCCTCATCTTTGTAACAACTGTCTCACATCCATGTACTGGTTAAAAGTCAAGACATCTGATATGCTTTGAGCCAAGTTTGAGCTAATAATAACCATTACGTCACATGTCTAAGTTCTTTCTATTACTAACATTGGCACATGGAGCACCAGAAGTTTCCAGCATAATGGATGCTTTAACTTATTCACACTGTATAATAATTTTGAAATTTAATCAAGTTTTTTTGTCTTTTCATTCAACCTTGGTCACGGCTCAAGTATTCTCATACAGTGTGAATAAGTGAAAACTATCATGAATCACACACAATCCTGTATTGAAGAGTTTGCATAATAAATATTTTGTTGGCATCTCCTCTGTGACAAGACCAGTTTTGATAAAAGCCATATCTCATAGTTTTAGACACAGAAAAGATGATGTTGGAGGACTGAAAGCATTCACTCAGTTCTGTATCATTCTGATTTGGCATGCAGCGGGTATCTGACCTGGCAATGCCTCTTCCTCTGTAGGCATCTTCATCTTGGAGGCCATGTCTCCCATTGCAAAGAAAATGGAGGCTCTGGGAATGTGCAGACACGAGGAAAAGAACAGGAAGAATCTGGCCTTCTGCATATGGAGCTGCTCATCAAGAAAACAAAATTATTTTGGTTAAATTAAGAAAGTCAAACTGCATAATACATGTATGAAAAATGTCAAAAGACAACAGTGATTTTACAAACAGTGTCACACTTTAGTATGCTTCTCATATCAAGGTACTTTATCTGGTGTTCTGTCATAGCAATGTTATCTTAAGCAAATTTTACTATCAAATCATGTCACGATCTAGAACTCTTGTTTCTTCACATCAAAACAAAGACGTATCGTTTAAGACAAGCTGAAATGTCACAAAGTCATATTTATACGTCTTTATTTCCTACAAAGCTAATTATCTTTCTCCATTCTGACCTTAAAATGATAATACTCAATTTAAGTCCCCGGTGTCAATATTGTGGTCTAAATGAACCACAACATTACCAGTACAGTAGAATGGCTGTAAAATTCAGTCATCTAATTAGTAATGTTGCAAAACATGCACTGTATCAAGGTGTAGGGATTGGCCAATCAATGATTTGTGAGTTGGAGAGAATTGCTTTTTTCTCCAAAAAGTTAGATTTGGCTAAAGCACCCGGTAAAGTATACTTTAAACGTTGGTGAAGGAAAATTCGGTCATGATTTCCCGTGTAAATTAAATAACCAACAGATCAGGTTTGTGGGGTATGTATTATCAGGTGAATTTATATGGCACTTAAGCTCCAAATTGCTCAACTTTGTGTTTCATAAGCGTTGATCAGTTCATGGCGGATACTCTGGTAACACAAAATGACTTGTTATAAAACTGTAAGTGAAACTGAAAGACCCAGACTCGGAGACCAAGTAAAGTAAATCTGTGTTAGATACAAAGGGGGGGTACCCCTGCAGCCAGATGACATAAGGAGATCGTTATTGGTTTCTTTGTACATAATCTTAGTAAGGCTATGCATATCACGATCATATTTGCATGAACCTCTTACCTTCTGCTTCCTAGTTTATGTAACAAGGATATGAGATTAAAGTACTACATACTATTCACCGATATAATGCAAATGCTGGTTGCTCATGAAAACGGCCAAGAGGGGACACATGCTCGCCTTGTAGTGTAATTTATAAGGCTACCAATAACGTTGTATACATGCACATATACATTTTCAGTGGCCGAAGATTCATACCGACTTTGTTTTTCTACCAGAGCTCCACATCATTTATGTCTTTTTCATTCATTCTTATCACTGAATCCATCACATTTTCTTAATTAAAAAGAAGTCATATCATGCACTTAAACAGTACAACTCACACTAGAAAATTATTTCATGGTTTTCCAGGTCATTCATGTTCACACAATGGAAATTCCAACATGGCGTTTTAAATGCTCTATTCTGTTGGGAGTAGCGTTCTTTATGAAACCTTTATTTTTTTCTAAAATCAACAACATTAAATTCTTCAACATATTGGTTTATTGTGTTCATTTATCAGTAATTTTACAAAATTGTAAGATCTTCAGTTTTGCATTGATACACAATCAGTAAGTAGAACTATTTTTGAATAAATGTATGATGACAACATAATATATATATATATCATAAAATTATACTGGTTAATCTACTATACACGCAAACATACCGTAAACAGCAAACCTGAGAAGGTCATATGAATACAACAAATAAAGTTAATGTAAAAAACCACGGTTAAAATTAAATATACATTAAAAGAGCTGGTATGAACAATGATGGTGTTGTAAAATGAGAGGCTGTATGGGATAACATGCTGTACAATGTCCTGCTTCTGCTCTTTAGCACCAATAGAACAGGTTCCTTCTAGACCTAAGGCTTGTTTTGTCAATGATCCACAAAATGTGAAGATGAATATGTGGTCTTTTCTTTCATTTTGGTTCATTTAATAAACATAATATAATAACATTTTTAAAAACTCAATCATTTTTTACTATCTCTAAGAGCATTAGGTTGTTGCATCTCCACAGAAAGTGCAGGCAAGGACTACCAACTTTTCAGGACAGTAAACTGACACTTGCAAGTATATAAAAATTGAACTATGATATAATCTCCATCCCTCCATGCTGCTCATATAATCAAGTAGGAGCCTACTCCCAGCTGAGATCATCTTTCCTAAGAGAAGTCTGTAATTTCCTCATGTCTTTTAACAAGTTCAGGGCTGCCCTGGTACCAGCAGTGGGGACTGCGTGGATTTTCCCAGCACCGTGGCCCTTGGTCTTGATGGTGGTGGTCACCTGGACCTCTCCGCTGCTGCTGCCATTGGTCGTGTACTGGGACGGAGGGGCCGACTGTGGACGGGGCTTCTTCTTCTTCTTTTTTAACCGAAGTTCTTGCAACTAAAAACAGAGAGAAATAACATAAGAAAATGAATGAATAATAATTTTTTTTTAGTTTCCTAGAATCATCAAATTCATGCAACCCTGTGAAAATCTGTCTACAGCAGAATTTTACAAACAACATTCAGGTTAAATTGACAAGATTTGAAAATACTTATTGACAAATTGCTTAATTATCCAATTCAAGCACTTTTCAAGGACAAAAATGCTGGAATACAAGCCCCTTTCAAGGTTATTTGCAATTTCAGGTACCTCTAAAGGCCACAAACTGAATTCAAAGAGCAGAGCTATATCAAGCACTTTCCAAGGCTGTATGACCCCCCCCCCCTCCTCCAGTCAGGTCAACTTACATTTTCCTGGTGTTTCTTCAGCCTTGCAATCTGGTCTCCCTTGGCCTCCATTCTGGCCACCAGGTGGTCCAGCTCCCTCTCCAAGTCCTCCCTTAACCTGTAGTCCCTGGCCTCATTAATCTGCTTTAACAACTCCTGGTGTTCACTGTAAACACACAATAACACATTAATATAACAAGTTATAACCTGTAGACCCTGGCCTCATTAATCTGCTTTAACAACTCCTGGTGTTCACTGTAAACACACAATAACACATTAAGATGACAAGTTATAACACACAATAACACATTAAGATGATAAGTTATAACACACAATAACACATTAATATAACAAGTTATAACCTGTAGACCCTGGCCTCATTAATCTGCTTTAACAACTCCTGGTGTTCACTGTAAACACACAATAACACATTAAGATGACAAGTTAACACAATAAAAGACCATGATGAGGTCTATAAGGAAGAAAAGTGAATTGTGTTTAGGACTTTGGGACATTGCACACTAGTACTATGTACTATATACAGAGGCATAGTATTCTCTTCTCTAATAACAGTAATATTTCCACCACAATGAATATGATTCTTTGAGAGATGTGGCAACTTTTGAAATGCTCTAAGAGGACATCACTTTGAATATACTTAGACTGGGTTCCCATGCCTAGATTGATCTAACTGGATCTACCCATCTCCAAGGGGTTTCTCGCTAATTTGCTTTAAGCTTAAACGGCTTATATATTTGGCACACCTACCAAGTCACTAAAGGATAGTCAAATACCCTTTAACAGCTTCAGTGGGCGTGCCAGACATCTAAGCTGCTTAACTTGATAGGAATTTAGTGAGAACCCCCTTGGAGATAGATCGATCCAAAGTTAGTATGATAGTCTTTGGGAATGGTCTCTTAGCTCGACTCACAAACTCATCTGAGCAAACTCATCCTGTAGCTGCACCATCAGCTCCGCCAGGTCGCCCTCCTCACTGCTGCTGCCAGTGTACGCCGAGGATGCACTCGCTGTGCTCCGCCTCACCAAGCCATTCTTCCTGGCTGCAGCACACAGAGAAGGATTGTGCTTCTTCATCAAGGAGAGGACCTGCTGGACATTAGCACCTAGGGCATGGCTGGGGGTCACTGCCTGTGAATGAGGAATACAGTAAAGGATCAGATACCATTTGTTACACATTACAGTTGAGGACATTACACTGACAAACCTGCTTCAACAAATTATCAAACAGATGTCCATAAACACTCAATTCACACTGTACATCACAAACGTTTTGCATTGAACAAGGACTAAAGCTTCCTTTGAGCTTTTCTCCTTTTCAACAAGGAGTTTTTTTCTGAAATGATTGTGCTCCACATTTACTGGCATGACTGCATGGCAATCATCAAACTTCTGTTGCTAAACCCATTGTATCCCAATGTTTTAGCAGCAGAATAATAAATGAGTTTATGTCTATCAAATATCATGTTTTATATACTTTTCCTGCCACAAAAGGAATTTCATTCAGGTTCAGCCTGTAGTGGTTCGTGGGGTCAACGGGTGGTTTTTGTGAAGATGCTGTGGATTTCTTGGCTGTTGTCTTTTTCTTTTTCCTCTTTGCTGTGGGTTTGTGGTCCTCTGCTCTGCTGTGCTGAGGGGAGACGGCTTCCAGAAGGATACGGTTTGTCTCGGCTGCTGTCTGGAGCTGTAAGGAGATTGAACTTGATATCAAACTGCTGTCTTAAAGAGACAGTATGACGGATAATCACAGATTTAAATTCATTTTAAACAGCCTGTGCTAATATCTAAAGTCATTTTCCATCCCTTGATGAAGTGACTACTTTGTGCTCAAAAACTTCATTATTTTTTTATTCGTCCTTATAAAGTGATGATGCAAGGAGTGCGCAGCTTGTAAATGAACACTCGGATCACTATGTGCTAGAAATTGCTTGGGACCCAAAGAAAATTTGCCAATTGCATTCTCTTGCACCACAATCATGTATACGATTCCTTTAACTGATGTAAGTTATATGAAATAAAAAGCAACTAAAATTTCAGAGCACACACAGAGAAAGGGGCACATCCATGCACATAATTCTCAGTCAACCTCACCATTTCTAAAAGAATTATAATATTATTGTGCAAATACCAGGCATAACCATCTGGTGCTACTAAAATCAAAACATTAAAAGAATCATAATTCAGTCTGTAAACAGGAAGACTTTCAACTCATCTAGAATATTTTCATGTAACAGAAATCAAAATTAAGCTAACAGCAATCGGTGGAAAAACAGGGAGAAGCAATCCACTTCAGCAGCTATGGTAGCCTGTTATACAGTCAATGATACACACTGGAAGATTATTTACTCTATTAATAATCAAGGTCTGTCAACAGGATGATGCGAGGTATCAAAACATTTTTCTGTCCTTCAAACATGCCACTTAGTAACAGACTGGTTTACCAGTTTTCTCCAATGATCCACTACATATGCATAGCTAACCTGTAAAGTATCATTTAAATATGACCGCATATTTTAGTTTCCTCTCTCTTTCTCTTAATATCATAGTATGTAACAGATTACTTCTTCTGATATGAAATATATTTTAATGTATTTTTTCTGCTGTCACAATGACACAAAATGTAATGTAGGAAAGCGCACCATCTGTTGCTACTAAAATGCAGACATTACCTCTGCAGCTCTTTCTTGAATAAGTTTTCTCTGGTGTTGTTCTTCTTGTAACCTTTCTTCCAAACCCCTAATCTTATTCTGCAAATACCAAGCATAATCACTTAGACAAAACAGTCGAGATCAGGTTATTCATTGGAAGTATTTAAAGAATGGTTTACTAATGATATTTACTGACCAGTTATATTACCAATTCACTTCTCTGTATTGCTATTTAAAAGCAACCATGTCTCAGTATTTGTCCACTACATTACCTCAGCTAGAGACTGTGTGGCTGTTAATCTTAGATGTTCTCTCTCCAGCTCTGCAATCTTATCTAACTGTGACTGTAAACCAGCCTGGAGGTCCTCCTCTTTCCTCCTGTCCAGCATGGTGTGTCTGTGCACCGCCATTTCCTTGTCCTTCTCTGCATTCTGGACCATCTTCCTCATGTATTCCAGCTGTTTCTCCAGCAGGTTGCATCTTGATTCAGCTGCAGTCAGCTGGGACTCCAACTCTGATGAGAAAAACACAGGGCTAATACATCAGTTGATGTCTACATTGAAAGTTCAATCTCAAATAGTTTCTTTTGCATATCTGTTCTAAATATGACACAGACAAGAACTGATGTAGAATAAAAGTTAACAAGTAAAAATAAAATTAAATAAAAAATTATAGATAAAAAATCAATTTTAAAAATTAATGAAAAAAAAATAGCAATACAATACCCTGTGATTGCCTAGAGACAGCAGTTGCCGTGGCAGCATCCTGTGTCATTTGCTCCCTTTGTAACATGTCTCTGTAGCGGGAGGTCTCCGAGGCCAAGTTCTTTAAATTGCCCTCAGCCATGCATCTCTCCAACTCTAATTTCCTTATCTTATCCTGTAGGCTTTTTAATGCTCCCATCACACCTGGTGAGTAAACATAGTAAACAACAGAAATAATTTCAAATTTTATCATTCAATGATAAAGGTTTATAGTGCACATGACACATACATATTTGCTAAAAGGAATAAATTTACTTAAGACTTTTTTCTATCCTTTAGTGACCCTTGCCAATCAACAGTTAAAAGTCATTTCCTGAGATTTCTCTACTGTGGAAGCTTCCACGTTATTTATTCTACTTTTGTTTTCTTATTTTATTTCAAAAGATCTAAGATTCATATGAGTATTACATATGATAATAAAAAACAAAATATTATTAACATGGAAGAAATTCTGTGGAATAGCTCCTTAGTGAGCAGAACACTCAACCAAGCAGGAGTCTAACCACGTAATCTGAAAAGAAAACTCTCCCCACAGCACACATTGTACTCACTACCTTGCCTATCATTCTCAGGCAATGCTGACACTGGTTTTGCAGGAGATCTGGTGTAATCAGTATTGATGAAGGGTCGAGTTGGTGGATACTCGCCATGGACAGTGGATGTATCATCTACCATTGACCTATCTCTGTAATTTGTGTACATTCCTGGCCTCAGGGGTGACCTATAGCTTGAATATGCTGCTGATGGTCTCGTCTGAAATACAACATTAAAGCAGACAAATTGAATAGTAGGTGCTTTTACAGTATCTCCCCCCACCGTCCACCTAGATTGCAGGGGCGGATCCAGGGATACTTGAAAGGGGGTCCATGGATGTGAAACCCCCCCCTCTAAATCCGCCACTGGATTGAGTCTGATTTTTACTAGCTGAAACTAATTCAGTTATGTGGTGACATGGACTTGACGTTTCTTGTCAAAACATCTCAAGTTAATAATGGATTGCCATATATATCATTTGAAAAACAGCGATATTGCTCAAAGTCACATTATTTAGAAAAACGCATGTAAGGGGAAACTGCAAAATTATCATTATTGTCATCACATAAAACCTACCTAATTTCTTCACGATTTTCACTTGAAGTTTATATATATATATATATATATATATATATATATATATATATATATATATATATATATATATATATATATA